TCTTTTGGGATCCATGTATAGAACAATGGACTTGCTGATTTGTCATTAAAATGTTTTTTAAGTATTTGTTGTTCATGTTTATAGCGAACAATTCTTTAGTGATGCATTTGATAATCTCAATTTACACGGATATATCGCTCAATACTTATATGCCAAAGTTAATTTTTTTTGTTTTTTCWTCTGAAATATTATATTAAACATCATAGAATACAAGATTAGGATGCATTTATGGAATACAAAGATGGAATCCGGAGATGAAAATACGGTGGAGGATCCAAACCGGGATCCTGAAGACCAAGAGACGAATCCTAAAAACCAAAAGGCCAAGATATAACTAGAGAACCAAACTAAACCAAGATTAAAGGTCCAAACAAACCAACTCATACACCAACATAGCTAAGAGTCTACCTTCCACTATCCCCCTAGACCTAGAACCCCTGCTTCGAGCCTCATCAACGAAAGGATGAGAAGGAGTTGTACACACGCTTGAGACAATGTAACCAAACCTCAAGTCCAAACTTGATCCAAATAAGAGTAACAAGAGCCCAGATAAAACCAGGAATAAGAGATAATCCACGAGCCAGAATATCTTCCAATCAAATCCCCAGATTCTCCATATTGATACACAACCCAGTACACGAAGGAAAGGCGTTGGTATGCATAAAGCCAATAGAAGAAATATTCACAAACGGATAGATCGAAAACAAAGCATCAAGGCGAGGATAAGCGACCTCAAGACCACCTTCTTCATAAAAGTAGTCACTCTTAAAACAAACAACCCCATCAGACCACCACAACCAGGGACAAGGGACAACCTAAGGCTCAGACTCATCAACCAGCCGGTAAGGAGAAGGAGCTTAAACCAAAACCAAGGAGTCAATATGGTGAAGATTAATATCGCTGCACATTTTAACCCGAAACCATGATGCTACAAGTCAAAACAATACAAGACCCGAAAACAACCCCAACAACAACAAGCAGAATCAGATTTCGATCCAACTTTAAGCACAAAAAGAGCCCACACGAAACCATTCCTAACCCATGTAGCCCATCACGAGCCCATGTAGAAACCAAATCTCGAGCAAACCACAACCCGCAACGGGGCACGACGAGCACAGATCCTGGTACCAATACGGCGGCGAGCACAAGTCTCAGACCCAAACACGAAGCCTGGCAACAACCTAATCGACGGGGAGCTTCGGGAGCTTGAGGGAGGAGACCAGTATAAAGATCAAGAAAACAGCCTCAAGGTCGCCGAACGCATGCCCAGCAGACCAGATCTTCAAAGACCCCAACCAGCACAACCTCCACCACCTTCCGAAACCAAGAGATCGGAAGCCACCACTTCAACCCAAATAGATCTCATGGCCTAAAGCTATATCCAAGCCTTAAGAACCTTCTACTAATCCGGTAAAAACAAACCATGAAAAGAAAGCAGATGGGGCCGGCACCGGCGCTATACAAGTCGCCGGTCACTGGACCAGACATGATGAAATTCCGAGTTCGGCTAATATACGGCGGCGACTTCTTTCTAGAGTATTTTTGACATAAACATTCTACCGGTTTACATCATTCTACATTTTCTTTCTTTTACTGGCAATATTAATATTTTTCCGACGGCAAAATTTAAATTAAGAAAAATTATGAAAATAGGCT